CTCGCTATGATATACACCCATCGTATGTCTGCAGTAAAACATCTGTCAACATCTGCAGCGCCGCCAGGACCAAACAACGGCTATAACGTAAACTATCACATACTTGTGATTTCTATTTTATCATGTAAAAGATATTTTGTGTGTCCGTGATCATAAATTGCAGTTATTAAAATACATGAAAAATTATTATAATATTTCTTTAAGGTAGTACTGGCGGTTTATGATCTACCGTTCGGAATTTAATAAAATTTGGTACACTAGTAGATATTTATGCAAAAAAGATTAATATAAATTTTTATAGAGCTACGGAGAGCCAATAAAAAGATATTGGCATTTACAATTTGGTGCGTTTAATATTGAGTCTTGTAGGAAGCCACCGATTATCTCCAATATTTCAGAAAATACCATTCAGATTTTAATAAAAAATGAAGAGAACATAGCTTTATTTATAAGAAACATGTTAAATGCTTAACAAAATAGATTTGGATCTTGTTATAGTAATAAATTAATAAATAAATATGCAAAATGTACGTTTTACATCGCAGATTATGAAATGTGGCAACGTCGCTAACAAGACAGAATACGCGCGATATTTAAAAATAAATGGAATCTGAGAAGGTAGGTTTCATAACAATGTCACAAAAAAAATATGAAAAATGTTTTATTCATGCATACAAAACAATTTATAATAATAAAAAATTTAATTTATTATAATTATAAACAATAAAATTGTAACTTAACGATATTTTCAATATGTTCTATATATTAACTACTCTAAGAATAAATTATTAATTTATTTTATAGACTCTTTGTTGGCAAAAAAACGAGCAATTTTATATATTACTTTTTTACTTTTAGTAACTTTAACAATACCATTTTCATCTTTGCCCAAAACATTTAATAAACCATCAAATTTATTTTGTTTGTATGCTTCTTCGAGCATTCAAAAGTCACATTTGCAGCGACCTTTTTTTTCTACAACCTGCTGATACACAGGATTTTAGTGGATTTAATCCTTTCATAGCAAAAGGTAAATTCTGCAAAAATAAGATTTTATTACATGCATCGTCCCATTTTAACACAGAACTAAGTATATCAACGTTTGTAATATTTAATTTGTTTAATACTTCACTTAGCATAACAACGTCATGAAGTGCGTCGTGAACTTTATCACAGTTTATATTAAATTCTTTAGCAAGATTTTCTAACTTGTTATCTCCTTTTTTTTCTTTCCAGTTTTGTTTTTTATTAGTGGAAGTAAATCAACATATCCAAGAATAATTTCACGGAAATGTTCTTTCATAAAAACTTTTTCTATTGCATTCATTAATCGAGGGTAGTCAAATGAACAATTATGGGCTATTAAAATACATTTTCTTTTAAGAAAGCATAAAAATTGGTAGAATCCGAATAATGCTTCTGATAAAGTGACAGTAGTAACAGGTTTGCCATGAAGTTCAAGTTTACCATAAAACAAACGCAGACCATGCACATTACTGGATTCTTCCGAAATTCTTTGTGTTGGTTTTATATAAACTGAAAATTCATATTGTTCATACTTTGCAGCGATCTGTAAAATATCCGAAGTCTTGGAAAAACTACCTGTTTCTAGGTCAAATAATACCGAAATTGGTTTTCTTCTATCATCTACCTTTACAACCGGAATAGAATCATACAGAGAACTAATTAATCCTATATTACTCTCATACATAGTACCTTCTTTGGCTTCATTTTTATTTTTTAAAGCAGTCTTGGCTTTTTTTAATAAAATTCGTTTTAGTTTTGCAGCACGTGTTACAGATTGGGCATATCTCTTTTGAGAAATGAAGTCTCTTCTCTTACAATATTGCATAGTGTGATCTCCAGGAGATAAGTTGAGGTTCTGACATAATTGCATTACGTGTTTTTCTCCTTTATTCTTTTTACTTATTGCTAATACAACTCTTCCATCACCAACGGCTGTTTTATTGTATAATCTTGATTTTGGTGCTTTACTGACAATCATGGCGTTCAAGCTCTCATTTGGATTGCTTGAAGCTCCACTAACAAATTGACAGGTTTTAAGTGCTAGATTATTAAAAATAGATTTTAAAGCTTCAAATAAATCTTCACTTTTGAAACCCTCATCAATATTTGCATGTTTGTAAGTTTCAGAATTTGATTTATATTTGCACCATATTCCACAATTGTTGTGATGGTTAAAAGCGTGATAGGGAATATTTTCAATGGCTCATGCCATAGCGACTTCATTCCCTTCATTCTGTGACAAGCAATAGTTGAAACATTTTTTTAGATACTGAATAGCTGTACCTGATAATTCTTTATGACTTTTACTTATTTTATATAGTTCACTGACAAGTCCTTTTGACGTATGATTTTTATCAGATTGTTTTATAATTTCATGACTAGTAGCTGCTCTTGCAGCACAAATGGCACTGCTATCATTATCAGCAATAAATATTCCAACTTCAAGGTTGCATGCTGATAGAATAGGATGATTTGTCAGAAGCGCTGCTGCATGAGGTTCCATTGCCTTAGCGCTACCCACAAAGTTCAAGCGGCAATCATGATCTTCAGGCAAGTGGTGAAGATCACACTTGGTACATTTTCTGTTCAACGTTATGTAGACTATAACTTTCTTACTAAAATATTCAATATAAGCAGCTGTGTCAGAGAGGCTATCGTATGTTCTTCCTATATCTCTGGTGAACCACCCAAAGTCAAAAGAGCCTGCTATGCGCACAATCATATCATCTGATATATTCTTATTTTTAATATCAATTTCACTCACAGAAAGAAATATAAAGGACATATCTTGATTAAGAGGTCTGGAATAGATAGTAAAAAATAAAATTACAAGTTTTTATTCATTTTTTTGGCATTTATTCATATTAAAAAATCATGATAGTTGAATAATTTTTAATCTACAAAACAATAAATGTTTTTGTTACAAAAAATCACTTATTAAAAATTTAATTTAATATCATTTTAGTAAAATAATAGAAATAAAAATGTTTACCTATATACAATTTTATCTTAAGTAAAAGTGCTACATATTTATACACTTTCAAAAAGTACTTATACAAAAAGTATTTGTAAAAAGTAAAAGTAAAAATAAAAATATTTATGCATATACAATTTCATGTTAAAAAATAAAAGATTTACGTAATTATCCAATTTCCAAGATGTAAATCAAGGACTTATGTAAAATATCATTTGTATAAAAATATACATAAAAATTATTATTTGATTTGCATCTAATAATGAAATAAAATTCATTGTTACAAATGAATTGTAACAAAATTCAAAATAAATAAAGATCCATTTTAAAAACATTTTTAAAAAATCATTGCATAATTACAATACATTATTTAAAGTTTTTCCTGATTCTATGATAGATCTATTTATCTATCTTTCTATTCTGGCGCTATTCGGTTACTTACAACAATTTTTTTAACTGATCCACATTTTCAATTGTTAAATGCCTTTCTTCTTGAACAGCAACTAAACAACTTTCTTTAGCTATGTCTTCGGCATCCTTGATAACTTCTGTTTCATGTATTTCATAAGTTTTCCAACAAATTTCTGGGATATTCATTGCAGCTAACACCTTGTTTAAATGTGAATTTCCAATACCACTATTCATAACGCCTAAAAATAGCATATCAATATTAGAGTCGCTTATTACATTTTTATTTTTACAAAAATATAAGCAATTTAAAAACTATTGACACTTACCAATTACAGCTTTGGTATTACAGTCGAAATGACTGCTTTGATTTGAAACTTGATGTTTTATATCGGTGGGGACTCCAGTTATCTGTTTACATTGTCGGCACTTTATATAGAAAATTGAAGCCAGACCAAAACGTTTTTCAAATTCGATGTCTTCCAAAATCAATACAGATTCACAAACTATACAATACATATTTCTTGCCAATGTTTTAACATTGACAATTCGACGACATCAGGTGAATTAGTATTTTTGTTTACAACTGGATTAAGGTTAGAAGACTCGAACTTTCTACTACACCTCTTAACTTTTTCGCTAATTCAACCTTTTTTTGTACATGCTTTCCGTTACTCTTTTTCCTTTCCAATGAAATAATTTTTTATTTGACATTTTTCATGAATTTTTTTGAGTATTATTACACAAATGACAAATAATAGACTAAGTATATGTTCGGCAACGACAGCATGTATATAAAAAGCAGCTGTATTATTCACATATCCGTCTCTCTCACTCCTATATCTATCTCCCTTATTTCATTGCGACGTTGCCACTTCTAAATGCTATGTTAACTAGGTTGGGTTTGTACACTCGTTTGACTCTTCAGTTTGTCCAGTACTACCTTAATCGTCAATAACAGACTTTTTCATTTTTCCTTCAAATAAATTATTACATTAAAATAAAAGTTATACAACATTGCTATAAAAATCAACAATTTTTAAAGTAACAAGAAAAAAATCTGATTTGCAAGGAAAATATAAAAACACAAAATAAGATATTTATATAATTTCATACCAAATTTGTATTTATTATATTACATAAGAATATATAACCCAGTAAGCAAATTGGCAGACTGCGCGCAGATTGGCAGCAAATTTGATCAAAAACCTACAGCAAAACCATAGCCATCTGTGTCTACATTAGGTTACGGTTTTGGCGACAGATCTTGCTGTCGGGCAATTGGTGCCAAATTTGCAGCAAAAACCGCACAAAGCTTGCAGTGCAGCAAGGTCTGCGTGGTTTCTGCCTGCCGCCAATCTGCCGTCAAATCGCTACAAGCTCTGCGCGGTTTTTGCTGTAAATCTGCAGCAATTATCCGACAACAAGCTCTGCCGCATATTTGGTGGCAATTTGGCAGCAAGATTTGATATAACAGATCCTGCATCAAATTTGTTATCTATTTGCCATCAAAAGTTGATAACAAGCTCTGCTCGAAATCTGTTCGCGCAGGTTTGGCTATCTGGGTACACGATCGCTGCCCTGGAAGTATATATTGGAACATGTCTATAGTCAACAGTTGTGCTATGTATAATTCGTCCTCACGCCATCACGGGAATGTATACGTATACATGCATACTAATGTATAGGACGCGCGAACGCATAACAAGAAGGTTGGGTCAAGCTGACTGCACTAAAGTGCAGCTCAGCGACACTTTCCTCG